GCTTCCCGCAGTTTGGTCAAACTCATGCTGGTAGCTTCGAGAACACTGTCCCACCATCTCGTCCTCTGTTGTCCCCGTCTCCTTGTGCCCTCCATCTTTCCCAACATCAGGGTCTTTTCCAGGGAGTCTTCTCTTCTCATGAGGTGGCCAAAGTCTTGGAGCCTCAGCTTCAGGATCTGTCCTTCCAGTGAGCACTCAGGGCTGATTTCCTTCAGAATGGAGAGGTTTGATCTTCTTGCAGTCCATGGGACTCTCAAGAGTCTCCTCCACCACCATAATTCAAAAGCATAAATTCTTCGGCGATCAGCCTTCTTTATGGTCCAGCTCTCGCTTCCATACATCATAATAATAACCACAGGTTGTTGGTGGGGCGAAATATATTTAGTTATTATGTATTTTTATGCATTTGCTTATTCTTATTCTTAGTTTGAATTTTGGATGGAATCTTTCTGTGGATGTATGTAAAAATTGTGGATGTATGTAAAAATTTCTGTGGATGTATGATAAAAATTATATTAAAAAGAAAGAAAGAAAGAAAGAAAGAAAGAGAAAGATGGAGAAAGAAGGAAAGAAGGAAAGAAGGAAAGAAAGAAAAAGAAAGAGTAGCTGCCTCTGGCTTGTGTTGAGAAAGGTAGACTCGAATCTACCTTGTTTGAAAAACTCAGGACAGCTTAAAAGAAGGTCCTTCTTCAAGCCGTGCACAATCCAACTATGGATCTCCCTTCTGTAGGAGGCAGTCATGGCCACCAACTTGCTTGACTTTATTAGAGGATTGGACAAATCCATGGAAGAGAGGGCCATGGGTGGCTATCAGCCATGATGTGATTCCAATGCTCTGAAACCACAGGAGGGGAGAGGACCCTCGTGCTTGACTCCTGGTTTCTGGCTTCCCATCACGGCCATCTTGGTTGCCAGTATGAGAAGAGGATGCTGGACTAGGTGGGCCATTGGCCTGATCCAGCAGGACTCCTTCTTATGCTCTAGACTGAAGTCTCAAATTTTAACATACGATAGCAGACAAAGAACGACAATGTACTGAGATCCCTTCCTTAATCCCTCACACACTTCAGAAGAGGCTGCAGAGTATCCATCCTTTGTTGGCATCACCCTTGGGCAGCATCCGCTGAAGCAGAAAATGTGTCCCTCAAGCAGTTTTCATTAAAAAGCATGAGCAACATTTTGCCTGCTGGGACCTCACCTGTTCTCCAAGAATCCTCAAAGATTATAGACGCAGGCTCTGAGATTACACCCGCAAGCTCCTTTAGTCCCCTTGTGGGCAGCTCATCAGGCCCTGGAGATTTCATAGAATCATAGAATCATAGAGTTGGAATAGACCACAAGGGCCATCGAGTCCAACCCCCTGCCAAGCAGGAAACACGATCAGAGCACTCCTGACATATGGTTGTCAAGCCTCTGCTTAAAGACCTCCAAAGAAGGAGACTCCACCACACTCCTTGGCAGCAAATTCCACTGTCGATCAGCTCTTACTGTCAGGAAGTTCTTCCTAATGTTTAGGTGGAATCTTCTTTCTTGTAGTTTGGATCCATTGCTCCATGTCCGCTTCTCTGGAGCAGCAGAAAACAACCTTTCTCCCTCCTCTATGGCTATCATATCACCCCTTAACCTCCTCTTCTCCAGGCTAAACATGCCCAGCTCCTCTTCTCCAGGCTAAACATGCCCAGCTCTTAGATGAATTCATCTAAAGTAGCCTGGTGTTCCCTTACTACCTCTTTGCCTATCTTAGGCTGCAGCTCCCTCCTTACATCATTTACTCATCATTATTATCACCAGGTTGGACATTGCTTTCCTTTTGGGCGAAGACAGAGCAGTGTTCCACCTCTTCTCTGTCACCCAGTAGCACTTCTCCATCTTCTCCATGCAGAGGAACTAGGACTTGCTCGTTCTTCTTCTTGCTTTGAAGATAGCCAAATAAACTTCTTTTCTAACCTTACTTGCAGGCCTGAGCTGATTCTCAGTTTTAGCCCTCCTGACCTTCTCCCTGAAACTATTGGCTACTCGTATGTACTCCTCCTTTGTTATTTCCCCTTTCTCCCGTTTCTTATACAAGCCCTTCTAACATCTCAGCTCATCTTTAAGCTTCTAATTTAGCCACACCAGTTTCTTTAGATGAATCTCACTTTTCTTTCTTGTTGGAATTGTCTGCATTTAGAATTTCAATATTTCTCATTTTAGAACCTCCCATCCAACTTGACTCTTTGAGTATTTCTGACCATGGGATCTCACCCACCAGCTCCTTCAGCTTTTAAAAATTGGCCTTCTTAAAGTCTAGAGTGCATGTCCAACTATACTTCTCCTTTCCTCTGTAACATGAAACCAACATGATCACTTCCTCACAAGGTTTGCAAGTACTTCCACTTTGTCAATCAGTTCCTTCCTGTTGCTGAGGACCAGGTCCAAGATAGATGATGCCCTTGCTGTTTCTTCCACCTTCTGGGAAATGAAGTTGTCAGCGAAGCAACAGAGGAATTTGTCAGACCTTGCATTACTGGCAGGGTTTGAGTCCCAAAAGTTATCGGGGAAGTTGAAGTCCCCCATGATTACTATTTCTCTCCTTTTTGAATGTTTGGTAATCTGCTCTAGGAAGACATCATCCAAGTCTTCAGTCTGGCTTGGTGGTCTATAGCAGACACCCACAGTAAGATCACTGTTGTTCCTCTCTCTTACAATTTTTACCCCTTTACAGTGGTACCTCGGGTTACATACCCTTCAGGTTACATACGCTTCAGGTTACAGACTCCGCTAACCCAGAAATAGTACCTCGGATTAAGAACTTTGCTTCAGGATGAGAACAGAAATCGTGCTCTGGCGCCGCAGCAGCAATGGGAGGCCCCATTAACTAAAGTGGTGCTTCAGGTTAAGTACAGTTTCAGGTTAAGAACGGACCTCCGGAACGAATTAAGTACTTAACCTGAGGTACCACTGTAGTCTCAATCTGCCTTCCATGCTCCAGATCATATAATGCTACTCCTCCTCCCTTCTTGTTTGTTCTATTTCCTCTGAGTAGGTTATATTTCTCTATTCCTACATTCCAGTCATGTGTCTCATCCCACCAGGTTTTAGTAATGCCTCCTAGGTCATATTTGCCATCCTGTATGAGCTCAAATTCGTTGTGTTGTTTCCCATGCTCTGTGTGTTAGTATAGAGACGATACCATTTATCTCTTAATATTTCCCCACAAAATGTTGGGGAGCCAGGCCCACCTGCACAGGTAATCTCTGTGCATTTCAGACTCTGGGGACCCTCTTTCTGCCTGCCCGGAAAAGCATCGCCTGCCATTTTGTGTGCAAAGGGAAGGGCAGTTCATTTTGTTCTCTCCCAACAGCTCGTTTTTCAGCCTTAAAATCATTTCTCCACATTTCAACATCCTTTCTATAAGATAAATGAATATATTTAATAATCCCTCATGAAAATTCATCAGCATTTAAATGAGAATTTCTCTTAATATGCACGTGTTTGTTTGCAATTTTGCTTGATCCTATTTTGTTCAGCCTACCCAGATATTTAGAGTGCTGGTTCATGTTTTAATTTGTTTTTCATTTATTGTTGAGTTTAATTTTTTGGGGGGACGCTTTAAGTAATTGTTGTTCATTCTGTTTAAACAGCAATGCTATTTGTCTTATCTTTTTCGTCAACAACCTGAAAGTTTTTTATAACGAGGTGTATGGATTTTATGAAATAAGTAAATAGGCAAACAATGTAGCTGTTTAAAACTGTTTTTATAGATAATTTTATGATCCGTCAGGGACAGGGGAGATGCTGACAACTGTGCACTGGGGGAAGTGGGGCTGGCGTCTGACTCGGGAGAGAGGGGCAGTGATTTGTGGGGGACTGTACCTGCCAGGAGGCGAGAGTTGGAGGCAAGGGAAGCTTCACAGCTGGAGGGTGGAGCGCAGGATGGGTCAGAAGAAGAGGAGGAAGAGGCAGCTCAGGCAAATGAAGGGCTGGAGGCTTCCCCATCCTCTCCTGCACCACTGTCTCCCAGAACCAGGAGGGGATTGAAAAGGGAGGAGCAGAGGCAGTTTCCAGGCAGGCATAGTCTCTAGCTGCGTGAGTGCAGCCCATTGGTAGAAGGTTCCTAAGCGGGCGGAGGGGGAATGGACCTCCTTCTGCTGCAACTGCTCCATAGAGTACAGACCTGGGAATAGCTCCCTAGGCACTAAAACATGGGTAGGCAAACTAAGGCCCGGGGGCCGGATCCAGCCCATTCGCCTTCTAAATCCGGCCCACAGACAGTCTGGGAATCAGCGTGTTTTTACATTAGAATGTGTGCTTTTATTTAAAATGCATCTCTGGGTTATTTGTGGGGTATAGGAATTCGTTCATTCCCCCCCCCAAAAAAAAATATAGTCCAGCCCCCCACAAGGTTTGAGGGACAGTGGACCGGCCTCCCGCTGAAAAAGTTTGCTGACCCCTGCACTAAAATGATGTGTGTGGTATCTGGAGCCACGGAAACTACTGTTAAGTGTCAGCTTTGTCCTTAAAGAGTTAACCATCTGCCGTGTGCATTCCTTTGGCTGAGGAGACCCTTGACATTGTTTTATTCTTTTCGTAAACCATGCTGAGGTTTTCCCCCTTTACAATAAAGTGACATATAAATTTAACGAGGCAAATAAATAAAAATAAATAATGTGCACATTTTTGCAAAGCGGGTTCCCCTAATATAATGCATTTTTAGTTGGGAGATTCTTTTTGTTTGTCTTTTAACTCGCATATGTATTTTAATGCATGCTCCACCCCACCCCACCCCGAACGCAATTTATTTCTGTGCACTTTTGCCGGAGAACTGCATTGCAAAATGCAGGCAAGTGTGGCTTTTGAAGGATAGCTGTGCTTCACTTTGCATATTGGTTCAAGAAGAGTGAACACGGTGGCTTCTCATTAAAATGCAAACAAAGCCCAATGCCTTTCCCTCCCCCTGCCCACATTTTGTACCAATTGCCTATGTTTGCTCAGCAGCATCTCTCTCTCTCCCTTGACAGAAGTGTATGCGGCTGAACCCTGATGTCCCCGTCTGGGTCTCCAAGCAGCGCATCCTCTGCACCTTGAACCACAGCCTGAAGGACGTGCTGAACTATGGCCTCTTCCAGCCAGCCTTCAACGGCAGGGCCGGGAAGTTCCTGGACGAAGAGCGGCTGCTGAGGGAGTACCCCCTGAACCCGGACACCCCGGTCCCTTACCTGGAGGTACTGACCTGCAGGCCTGCCTTGTTTTCTGTAGCTACCACCCCCAGCCCCACTTGGGCCTGGCTTGGGGTGCATGGGGGCATGTTCAGCCTGGGTGGAATGGAAACAACGGGGCATTCCTTCTCCAGAGACCAAGCTTCTGAACGGCATGGGGATTGCCAGCCTTTGCTCACTGGCAGAGGAAGAGGGGGGCGGGGGGAGCGTACTGCACTGCCTCCCGGTGGAGTACAGGGTCAGGTTTAAGGTGCTGGTTTTAACCATCAATTTCCTAGAATCTCAGAGTTGGAAGGGACTCAAAGCTCATCTAATCCAACCCCCTGCAATGCAGGAATCTCAGCTTGATTTATTTCTATTTATTGCAGTGTATGGGCTAGAAAAGTGCCCCAGTGGCCAGAATCTTCCACTAAGAAGTTGTGCCACAACCCCAAACCTTCCCTTGACTCGTGGACTCAGCCACTGTGATCCACGCGACGGTCACCTCCAGGCTTGATTATTGTAATTCACTCTACGTGGGGCTGCCCTTGAGACTGAGCCAGAAACTCCAGTGGGTGCAGAATGCCGCAGCGAGGCTCCTTACGGGGTCCTCACCACGGGATCATATTCACCCAGTGCTATACCAGCTGCACTGGCTCCCGGTGGAGTACAGGGTCAGGTTTAAGGTGCTGGTTTTGACCTTTAAAGCCCTCTATGGCCTAGGACCCTCGTATTTACATGACTGCCTCTCCTGGTATGTCCCACGGAGGACCTTACGATCTTCAAATAAAAACATCCTGAAGGTCCTAGGCCACAGGGAGGTTAGGCTGGCCTCAACCAGAGCCAGGGCTTTTTCGGCTGTGGCCCCGATCTGGTGGAACGTTCTGTCACAAGAGACTAGGGCCCTGCGGGACTTGACATCTTTCTGCAGGGCCTGCAAGACAGAGCTGTTCCACCAGGCCTTTGGCCAGGGCACAGTCTGACCCCCTCTCTCCTCCTTAGAGCTCTAACCCGATGGTTGCCATTAATTTGAGTCTGAATTGATTTTAAAATGAATTGATTTTAGAATGCTGTATTACTTTTATTGTTGTTGGCCACTCTGAGCCTGGCTTCGGCTGGGGAGGGTGGGATATAATAAATTATTGTTGTTATTATTATTATTATTATTATTATTATTACCCTGGCACCATGATCCTGGTGGGGTTCCATCGCAGCTGCCCCTCCGCGCTGGGTGCCACGCCCCCGCAGGCAGCGCACCATGCCCCCAGGACGTGCGCCAGCCACGCCCCCGCCTGCTCTCCGCCCCCCCCCCGGTGCTGGAGCATGAAGCTCCGCCACTGCCTTTGCTAGAATACCTGGCTCCTGGTGGTCTTACTTACTTCAGGATCAGGGCCTAAGAGGACAAGTGCATGGGCATAAAGTCCAAAATGCAAGCAGTTTGGGAGGTCTGAAGGCAAGCTGGTAGCAAAGTAGAATGTCTTGCAATGGTAGCAGAGAGCCGAGGCCTGTAATAATAATAATAATAATAATAATAATAATAATAATAATAATAATAATAATTTATTATTTGTACCCCGCCCATCTGGCTGGGTTTCCCTAGCCACTCTGGGCGGCTTCCAACAAAGATAAAAAATACACTGAAATATCACATATTAAAAACTTCCCTGAACAGGGCTGCCTTCAGATGTCTTCTGAATGTCAGGTAGTTGTTTATCACTTTGACATCTGATGGGAGGGCGTTCCACAGGGCGGGAAATGTAAAGGCAGAATTGCAGGTGCCTAGCAATAGCTGAGTCCACGAGTCAAGGGAAGGTTTGGGGTTGTGGCACGACTTCTTAGTGGAAGATTCTGGCCACTGGGGCACTTTTCTAGCCCATGCATTGCAATAAATAGAAATAAATCTAGCGGAGATTCCTGCATTGCAGGGGGTTGGACTAACTCTAAGATTCTGTGATTCTAGGTAATCGATAGTTGACGCCCTTGCTGCACTGGAGGTCAGGCTGGGTGCTCTCAGTAACCACCTACTTGGACCTCAAAGATCTATTAAAATCCCATTTAGAAACACCGGCTTAGCATTTAATTCTTGCAGCAGAGGCCCTGTGGGTCACCTTTGCCCATCCTGGCCGGGGCCTCCCTGGCATGTGATATTTTGCCTCCAAAAGCAGCTGCATCACATGGTCTAAATGTGGATGTGGTGGGGCGCATCTGGGGCCTTGGCACCCGAAAAATGTTGCCACCCCAATCAGATTTGGGCATGAAATATACTTGGAGTCGAGAGTGGATTTCATGCTCTTTATTCAGCTTATAGTGGTGAGGAGGAATGGAAGTTCCCCCAGAATGCCTGCTTTATATACAGTGGTACCTCTGGTTACGTACTTAATTCGTTCCGGAGGTCCGTTCCTAACCTGAAACTGTTCTTAACCTGAAGCACCACTTTAGCTAATGGGACCTCCTGCTGCCACTGCCGCGCGATTTCTGTTCTCATCCTGAAGCAAAGTTCTTAACCCAAGGTAATATTTCTGGGTTAGCGGAGTCTGTAACCTGAAGCATCTGTAACCTGAAGTGTATGCAACCCGAGGTACCACTGTACATTATTTACACAATGGGCCACAGGTGATTGGCTAATTCCGGGATTCTCCTCTAGGCCAATCACTTCTGGATTCACTTCCACCTGGAGCTGGATTGGGTGGCTCCTGTGGACCAGACTGCTGCATTCTGAATCCTATTGTTCTAGGACCAATCAGACTGCTGCATTCTGAATCCTATTGTTCTAGGACCAATCAGACTGCTGCATTCTGAATCCTATTGTTCTAGGACCAATCAGACTGCTGCATTCTGAATCCTATTGTTCTAGGACCAATCAGACTGCTGCATTTTGGATCCTATTCAGCTCAGTACATAACAGGGGGATTGCAGCCGTTTCCCACCAATTAACGCAGGCACCCACTTTTGTTTCCCCATATCTTCCCTGCTCCCCAAATCCCTTTCCAAAAGCAGATGCTGCAGAACTTCTCTGCAAGCCTCAGGTATTGGGGTGTGTGTGTGTGTGCTAATGTTAGGCATGTCTTTTAGCAAAAGAGATCAATGCTTTCACACCGGAGTCCCTCAAGAGCTCCTTGGTGAATGCCAAGCGGGCCCAGCAGCCTGCTCCTTCTCTGATTTGTCAGTTAGTTCTAAAATGCCAACCTTTGCCACCTCTTCTTCACATAGCTCTTCAGGTGCGCTGCTTCGAAAACAATGAATCACCACCGAGCTAAATTTAGGAAAGGGAGGGAGGGAGGAGAAGAGCTGGATGGGTTTTTGTGCTTGGAAAATGGGAAGGACGGACTGATGCCAACCACACAGGACCTGCTCAGGGCCCAAACACTTTCACAGGACTCTTCCTGGATGGGGGCTAATTTTTATCTCTCTCCCATGACAACTGGAATTTTGGTCTTCCTTCCTTCCTTCCTTCCTTCCTTCCTTCCTTCCTGTTCACAGGAAGTTAAATCCTACACAGTATTCCATGCTGAACTGATTTCTAAGCGCAGGTCTGAGATACTTTCCATTTGCCCCACCCCTTTCCTGGGGAACACCCATTGTTTACTGCTGAATCGGAGCAAAGATCAGTTGGTTTTTCTGTGGATTAAACACTTCCTCTGGTTCTGCTGCTTCCCCCTGGGGAAAACCGCTGTTTTGCGCTCCATCAGAGCAAGTGGCAATCATGTTTTCTGCAGGTTGCTATTTGTTCCCATTCCACGCCAAAGAGCAGCTTTTCCCTGGGAAAGGAGCGAGGTAATGGGGAGGCTGCTTGCAGCTGACCTGCTCAGAGCCATGCTTTCTAGGCCTGAGACAAGCGGACATGTGGGGTATCCCTCAGCGGTCAACAGCGGGTTTTCCCAGGAAAAGCGGTGGAAAAAAGAAAAATCTCTCAGACTCATGCCTACAAATCACGGACCAAACAGAAGTGTGAATGAGCCCCATGTGGGATTTGGACCAGTTCTCTATTAAGATGGTTTTGACCTGTAAATCCCCAGGTTGTTTGCCCAACAGACCTAACCAATTTCCCCTTCCTCTGTGCCCGCCCAGGTGAATGGACTTGCCTGTTCTCGCAACTCACTCTCTCTCTCTCTCTCTCTCTCTCTCTCTCTTAATTCCCAACTCTCAGTATGTGTACTGTGTTTGCTCTGGTGGGAGAGAGGGTGACACTAGAATTCCTCTACCCTGGCAATTCATCAGAGCCCAAGAACATTCTTAGGAGAGTACTGACTTCTTCCCTGAGCCTTTTTACAGCCAAGATTGAGCAGGCATGGAGTGATTCGGTCCTACCCATACATTACTTTTTTAAAAAAATAATGGGGGTGGTTCCCAGGTCCGATTTTAAAGCTCTGTGTCCAAGTGCCCTTTTCCCTGTGAAAACCTGTTCTTTAAAGCTGAATTGGAGCAAACAGCCATTGGGGTTTTCTGCAGATTGATGTTTGCTCTGATTCAGCTTTAAAGAGCAGCTTTAAATCTCCAGATCTAAAAAAAGGGTGCTCAGAGAGAGCTTTCAAGTGTGGACCATGTGTGAAAACAGCGGAGGAAAGGTAAGTGTGGATAAGCTCTGAGCTTTGGAGCTGCTGTTATATCCCCCAAGATATAAAAGAACTTGCAATGCTTCCAAAGGGAAGGAACTGAACCAAGATGTGAGCCGCCGAATACCATCTCCTGGGAATCGCAGGTGGGGAGAGGTCCTGCTTGTGGACTTCCCATTCAGGCACCTGGTTGGACAGTGGGAGAACAAGATGCTAGACTAAAGCCCACCCACCCCTTGGTTCTGATCCTGCAACTGGGCTTTCTTGACATTCGTAAATGCCTCTGAAGGCTGTGGGCTGCCCTTGGCACAGGGCCTGTTTTGGCGATTTGTGGGTGACGCTCCTTTCTCCCCTCTGCTCTTGTTCTCCAGTTCCGGTACAAGAGGCGAGTTTACATCCAGAGCCTGCTGGACGACAAGCAGTTTGCCAAGTTGCACACGAAGGTAAGAAGAGACCACCACCCTCAAGGCGAGCAGGGGAGGCCCTTGCACGTGACCCAGCCCCTGGTAGTCTGGCCATTCCTTTGAGATGGTGATTACCCAATTCCTGAGACAATGGGAAGGTTCCCTCACTCCCTCCCTCCTTGCAGAGAAAACATTTGGTCAGCTTGGGAGTCAAAATGGTTTCAGGGCTGTTTTCCTGTGCTGCTCCAGACATGTGGTTTATATATTTACGAACGTGTTTGCTGGGTACATTTATGAACATTTATTATATATCTAAGACGTTATTTTTTTATTTCAAGACACATTCATAGTTACTACCCAGCATGGTTTTATCCTTTTGAGTACCAGTTGCTGGAAACCATGGGAAGGGAGAGGGCTAATGTGCTCGGATCCTGCTTCCAGGCTTCCCATAATGGGCACCTAGTTGGCCTCTGTGAGAAGAGCAGGATGTTGGACCAGCTGGGCCACTGGCCTGATCCAGCAGCAGGGTCTTCTTACATTCTTTTATCTACACTGGCTGGCAGCCGCTCTCCAGGGTTTCAGACCAGGGCAGGTTGGAGTCATTCCTTGCCCGACCTGGAGATCCCAGGAATTAAATGTGGATTTGTTTTCATGCAAAGCAGGGACGCGGGTGGCGCTGTGGTCAGCTGTTCGAATCCCCACGACGGGGTGAGCTCCCGTTGCTCGGTCCCAGCTCCTGCTAACCTAGCAGTTCAAAAGCATGTCAAAGTGCAAGTAGATAAATAGGTACCGCTCCGGCGGGAAGGCAAATGGTGTTTCCGTGTGCTGCTCTGGTTTCGGTGGAAGTGGTTTAGTCATGCTGGCTACATGACCCAGAAGCTGTACGCCGGCTCCCTTGGCCAGTAAAGGGAGATGAGCGCCGCAACCCCAGAGTTGGCCACGACTGGACCTAATGGTCAGGGATTCCTTTACCTTTAGGCAATCTGCCACTGAGCTGCAGCCCTTCCATTGGAGAGTGCCAGTCAGATGCCTCCTTGGTCTTTGAGCCATGGCTTGCCTACCCCCACCGCCTAAGAGAGGGCTCCAACACTTGGCCCCGTGAAGTATGCTCAGCTGCTGAAGCAGCTCTTGTTGTTTGAGACATAAAATGATGCCCATTCCCCCTTCTCCCCTCCTGCCTGCACCCCCCCTTTTTGCTCACAGCAGGGCCGCTCAATTTGGCCGCTGGCTCCAGGGGTGCTGGCCTGTTTTCTTGCGCTCTTGTGCAGGGAGAAGGAGGGGGAGAGCGCCTCTGAGGTTTCAGTCCATCTAGGAAACAGCAGCTGTTGGGCGGAGGGGAAAATGCTGCAGATGCAAAGCTGGGAGAGAAATGATGATCTCTCCCCGCTGCCCCCCCCGCCCTCTTTGCCCAGATGGATCCCTCCAACCCACCCAGAGGCACCCAGCAAGCAAGATCATAGAGGAGTGCAGTTGGAAAGCACACCCAGGGATCATCTAGTCCAGCAGTTCTCAACCTGTGGGTCCCCAGATGTGGTTAGACTACAACTCCCATCACCCCTAGCTAGCAAGGCCAGAGCTCAGGGATGATGGGAGTGGTAGTCCAACAACATCTGGGGACCCATAGGTTGGGTCTGCTGCTGCAGAGCCTGGCAGGCAGCTTGTTGTCCTGTTGGCTGAGGCCACAAACCGCTTGGGTTGGTCCCTTGTCCGTTCCAAGGGTTGAGGACCTGCTGGACTAAATCCCGATCTTGTTTTATTAGGAAGAGCCTTGCAGAATCGGGCCAAAGGGGCACATTTGGCCTGGCCTTCTGCCTCTAGCCATTGGGGAGCCCTCACTTTGAGGAAGCACCAGGGTGATGCTCATCCCAAGGGAAGGCTGGCCTGTTTCTCTCCTGCCTCCGAAGCAGCTCACGTCTGGTGCTCTGAGCTCCTTCAAGGAAAAGGCAGAAGAAGCCCTGCAGATGTACGAATACCAGCCTTCGGCAGTTTGAAGAGTTGGCCAGCGGAGCCTCTTGCCGCCCTTCCTCGTCTCGTCTTTCTGTGTGTGCATGAGCAATATCGCAGAGCAGCCTTTATTTTATTTTGCAAGAAGCTGTCTTTGCTCCTTGCGGTTAGCAGTGTGCTCCCCCCTCCGCCCCCTGCAATTCCCTCTGATTGGGTTAAGATAGCAGTTTTCATTCATGCCCTTTTGGCAACGAAAGCAGCCTTCAGAAAATGATTGCAAAGTGGCACTTGGTAAGCAGCCGCAAATATTGACTTGGTCTGTGGACGGCTTCTGTGCAGTTCAGAATACTTTGAGGCTCCGTTCCGTTCAGTGAGCGTTATCTTGGTGCGGATACAAATCTTCTGCAGAGTTAATTACCTCTAGGCCAGTGTGAGCCATTTTGAACTTCTCATCATGAGTCAGAGGAGATAGCTTGATACCCTCTATAATTAAGGAAATGTTGTTAGTAAAATCATCACAGAATTGTGGGGTTTTTTTGGAAGACTTACGGTCCCTGGAGGTGCTTTTAGGAGCACTCTTTGATTTCCACTGCTGCAATTCTGCACAAGAAAACCCAGCTCTCCTTTTAAGCAGACTGCACCTTTGTGATGGCTAAAGGTGCAGAAATCTCGGAAGAATGTCTCATGGAATGGGGAGTGCCATGTGGCAGCAATGTGAGCCAGTGTCTGGATTGAAGGAGCGTCTCCACCCCCATCGTTCCTGAAGGAGCGTCTCCACCCCCATCGTTCTGCTCGGACACTGAGGTCCAGCGCCGAGGGCCTTCTGGCGGTTCCCTCATTGTGAGAAGCAAAGCTACAGGGAACCTGGCAGAGGGCCTTCTCGGTAGTGGCACCCGCCCTCCCATCAGATGTCAAAGAGATAAATAATTACCTGACATTCAGAAGACATCTTAAGGCAGCCCTGTTCAGGGAAGTTTTTAATATGTAACGCTGTACTGTTTTTAACACTGATTGGGAGCCGCCCAGAGTGGCTGGGGAAACTCGGCCAGATGGGCGGGGTATAAATAATAAACTATTATTATTATTGTGACTCGTCCATGGATATGGTGAGCCCTGCGGCTGTTTTCAGGAGGGGTTTTCAATTGGGTTTTGAAACAGTTTCTCACGCTGGTTCTGCTTGAGGATGGGCAATGATGTCTAGCAAAGGCCTGATCTTTCCAGGAGCTTCTGTTCCCTTCCGTAAGGAAAACCTGACAGCAAGAATCCAGGCAATGCGTTCCCCCAGCAACTTGCCTGTGACTGAGGACATAGGTCCATCTTAGGGCTCATCCACACTTAAGTTTTGCCCCACAGTTTCTAGACCCAGGCCCACACTTTCCCGGTCCATGTCTGAGCTCTTTTTTTTATTTCCTCTGCTGCTTTCCCCACTCTCGAATGCTGAATCAAAAAGCTACATATGATTTATTATTTATTATCATTATTTATTAAATTTGTATTTATTGGTCCTGCTAGCTAGGAATGATGGGAACTGTGGTCTTTTAGAAGAAATCTGAAGGCAGCCCTGTTTAGGGAAGCTTTTAATGTTTAAGAGACTATTGTATTTTAATATTCTGTTGAAAGCCGCCCTGAGTGGCTGGGGAAACCCAGACAGAAGAACAGGGTACAAATAATAAATTATTAATGGTTGTTGTCCAAAAAGAGCTGGCGACCCAAGTTTGGGAAGCCCTCCTAGGCTATATTTACTCACTTTAGAGCCCTATTATATGGCTTGCTTAGTTAATCTTCTGGTACTGGGATTAAATAAGATCTCATTATATACCATTTCATTACAGTTATACCTTGGATCTCAAACACCTTGACTCCTGAACAAATTGGCTCCCGAACGATGGAAACCTGGAAGTGAGTGTTCTGGTTTTCGGACGATTTTCAGAAGCTGAATGTCCGGTGTGGCTTCCGATTGGCTGCAGGACAGTCCTGCAGCCAATCGGAAGCTGCACCTTGGTTTTCAAACAGTTCTGGGAGTCAAACGGTCCTGGAACACATTCTGTTCGAGAACCAAGGTACGACCGTATATTTTTCCAGAACTTCATGTGCAGATCTCAGGGCACACAACAATATAAAAATACAATAGGAATGACACAAACTTCTGGTGGTGTGCAACAGTGTATTTCACCAGTTGGTTAAAACATTGATGCTCTTTGAGGGAGGTTGATGTCTGATGTACGGCAGTGCGGCAGCTCAAGTGTTGATCTAGCACTGCAGAGCCCCAGGTTCAAATCCTGCCTGCGTCCCAGAGCTCACTTGGGCTAGCCGCTCTATTTTTTTTTGTTTTTTGTTTTTTTTAGTTTTTTATTTATACAACAAGAAAAACAAACAAACAAAAAACACAAATACCAAATTACACACAAATTACAAAAATAACCATCGACACTTAATATTCTTAGCAAACAATAAAACATCTATTGGTCTTAACACTAAAGACCCAACCTCCCGTCTATTCCATACTTCAAATTCATATTACTTATTGCCAATACACTTTTCCCCCCATAATTAAACTTATTCTCATTAAATCTAATTTCTAATATCTACCTTGCAACTATTACTGAAGTTCCTCGAATGCTGCAACAGAATTTAAACTACTATATTTATTTTTCAGATATTCTTTAAAAACCTCCCATTTAGAAACAAATTCCTGTTTTGATTTATTTTTTATTTTTTTCTGATAAACCATCTAATTCAGCATATTCTGTCAGCTTTTGGATCCAATCTTGAATAGAGGGGATTTCATTACTCTTCCATTTTGCTGCGATCAAAACTCTTGCTGCCGCCGTCGCATATAAAAAGATACCCTTCCTCTTTTGTGGAATATCCGAATCTGTTATTCCCAGGAGGTAGGCCTCTGGTTTTTTATTGAAAGAGATCTTTAGCATTTTTTGCAGTTCTGCATGGATACTCTCCCAGAATACCTGTATTTTCCTACATATCCACCACATATGGTAGAATGCTAGCCGCTCTCTTAACGCAGCCTGCTTCGCAGGGTTGTTGTGACGAGGTGACTCTGCGGGCCACCTTGAGCTCCTCGGAGGAGAGGCAGG